TTACGCATTTAATCAATGCCTAATTTTTTTTGTTTGAGAATTTTGATCATGGGGCCATCTAAAGAACTGAACTAAGGGCATTCTTAGTTGATGATGCACCTCATAATTTCACTGTGTATTAACAGAAAAATAATGACTTAAAATCAGACAACAGATTCACAAGGACAAGATGCATTTATCTGACCTCTTGGATCAGCTCTCTCCCATTATTAAGGAATACTATGTCAGTCAGCATAATACATTCACATTCACATACATGAACATTCACAGAGATTATTTCATACTTTCTTTGCTCCATAAACTGGAAAGGATGATTTTTTCTTGTTGTTGTTTTTAAATTAGGAAAACATTTATGCAATCACACAAGTTTTAAAGGAAAAAAACCTTCCTATGTAAAAGTTAGCCTATATGTTAAAAGCAACTTGCCTGAGGAGACTGTTGCTTACAGGTAAGATACAACCATTTTAAAAATAAGAAGATAATACTGAGCTAACAACAGCTCAAAAAAATTCCTTCCTCTTGCTATTTAAATATCAAAACAGAAATAAAGCAATGATAACACTATTTTGCAAACCAAATACTACTGAGCCTGAAATTTTCAAGTCGTGACTCAAAAGCTGTAAAAGGATGATGCATGTTTTCACCAGCTAAATCACTGCTTTCACTTGAAAGTAACACATGAATCACAGCATAAAATTCTAGGTGATACTAGATTCTTGGAATTAAGCAGGTTGAAAGAAAACAAGTAACTGATAGGAAACTAATACCATCTTTATTCTTGCCCTTTGTGCATCTACACAAGCAGACACACATCTACGTGTTTCACTGACACCCACAATGCAGTAGCTGCCCCACATCTTCACACCACCCCACTCATTAATGACCCCCATTCACTTTCAGGTGTGCCTGACCTGCAGTATCATCTACTCACCAAAATCGTTTGTGAAACTCTAATCATTGTTTCCATCTCCATATCTGGAAGCACAACTGCAAGCTCAGAACACTCATTTAAGCTCTTTAGTGAAAATTTGAAGCCCTGGAGTCCATTTGTCAGAGACCCTTAAAAGGTATTCAGATCATGTCTAGTTCTCTGGAAGAAAAATGGAGAAAGTTCTCCCAGATTCTACTGAGGTAGTGATAATTACACCTCAGATACCTTAGTTCAAACCACACGATCTCCAAATCCTGCGAAGTCTGAAAGGGAATACTTCTTAATGATTTCATTGCTCCTTGTATAAGAGATGTTTTCATAACTGTGCAGATAACTGATTTCAAAGACCAAATGCTGTAGTTTGACCTTTACTATTGATTTGAACCTAATTAAATACTCTCTACATATTCACAGGGCACCAATATTAAATATTTAATGTTACAGTAGCAAGTAAAGATTTAACCTTATGCAAACTTTTGAAAACGAAATTTGGATCTACGTGTATTTGAAGTTAAATCACTATACCAGTCAGGGATCATTTCTTTTGTTCCTGGTGCTCTGTGATTAAACATTCTTATGTTTTACCTGCAGCTGATGATCACAATAATTCATTAACTGATTTTAAAAAATGCTTCAGAAGTATCATTGTACGACTTGCCCATCTCCCTCTACTTCTGGTCTCCCAGAGTAGTACTTCCCTGCAGCTTTGGCCACCTTCCTTGAAAACAGGCAGTACTCAGATAGTTAAGGAGCACATAGTGTAGTGACAACCAACATTTACTTTAGAGTATCTTAAAACAAAACTACACTAAATGAGGAAAAGCCCTGAAGTTTTATTCTCATTGCGCCAGAGAATCATGAATAAAATTCAGAGGTTTAATCAAATTTGAGTGCTGCAACCTATATGGAATTACACATTTTTAATACGTGTGTATACTATCATTTGTTTTACTTCAGTTACTATTCCCACTGGCATTCCACAATGCCATGAAATACAAGATAGTAAACACTAAGTCATCACAATTGCTTTTGGCAATTGTCAGTTCTCTTCCACTCATCCGTTTATTTGTTTTACATGCTGACTGTGTTCTTAAGAGAGCATAAAATGCCTAACTATTTGCCTTCCTGACAGTCTCCTCTAATGTATTAGAAGATCACACCAAGAAATGGGACTGAATCAGAAAAGAAATTTGATCCTAGATTATTCCTGAAATAAGTGTTTGGGGGATTAATGAGCTGCTGTTAAGGCAAAAGGTGAGGAAGAACTACGAATATCATTTCATGTTTCCCTTTGCAGATAGCAGTAACAGAAAAAAGTTGCTTGTGGAATGCAATTATTTGGGCCTGTACTGCAGCTAAATGCTCTGAGACTCTTCTGGACTTGTAGTATGTTTTCAAGTTTTAAGGAAAACTTGAACTCCAAGAAAGACAATATTGACTTTCTCTATTTGTCAGTCAAATAAGATTTTAATATCCTGGGTAGTATCTAGGACCATTTTTAACAGTCTTCTCATCCTTTGTTAGGGCATGTTATTTTCTACAACCATTAACAGAGAACAACAGAGGGAGAACAGGAAAAATATCTGCAAGGCTATCACCACAGTAAGCTATTTGGAGAATTTGTTGTTTGTAGTTTCAGAACTGTGCAACTATGTCCACAAGAATTCTTCTCATATGAAACCGACAGCTATGTCAAAATTTCAGGAGGGTTTTTTCCAACACTTTTAATGAAGAAGCTTTTCAGGAATTCAGAAACATTTCTTCACATTTCTGATGAAAGAACTCTGCTCAAGGCAGGAGCCTGTCATTTTCATAAAGGAGGGTCTCGTGCCATTGTAAGTGTTATCTGCTGCTAGGGGTTCTTTCCCTTAAAGGCTTTCCTGTCTTCACATCACACTAAAACCAGTGACAAACTCCACATCATTCTAACCTCACTGTAATGCTATTAAGCAAGAATATGTCCAACTGTAGAAAATGTTTTTGTATTACTATGTGTAGCATCTGAACATTTAGAGCCAAAAGCGGGAAGCATTGTAAAAGCAGAACACTAACAGCTCCAATTCAGTGGCTCC